GTACTAAATTTAATCTAAATCTATTTTGTCGTTTGAGCGTAAGGTACTAACAAACAAACACACATACAAACTTGCATTTATGTATGATGTTTTTAGGCTTCCGTACCCGAAGAGTATCAAAGGGACACTTTTACTAAGCCGCTGTCCATCCGTCCATCTGTCAGAGGGCTTTATGTCATGAACAGTAATAGAGAGTTGAAATTCTCACAAAGTGTGTATTTCTATTGTCGCTATAACAACAAATAATAAAAAATCAAGATGGCCAATTTCGAAAGGGCTGCCATGCAAATAAAAAAAATCATTAGTACATAGTGTTACATGTTTTACGATGGTACGGAACTCTTTGTATGCGATTTCGACTCGCACTTGACCGTTTATATTTGTATCTTATTTGTTCCTCAAATCGAGAGTCTTAATTCAAAAGTAGTCTTAATAGCCAAATTACATGTAGATTTTCAACAATATCGTAAACAGTTAAAGTGGGTGGATACAAACGTTATATAAACATGTAGAAGTGAAACTTAACAAAGCCTTAAACGCACAGACTGACGCAGAGACAAAATAATTGCCTCTCGGACGTTAACCACCTACATACTAATAACAGGTGGTACAAGTTGGAAACTTCATATTTATATATGATTTGTTTAAGTATAATTTCTAGAATGTTAAAAAATGTAGATTTAAATTATATTTAAAATTTCATGTATAAATATAAAATTTTTTTTTATTGTCATCCCAATTTAGATATTTTGGGATTGACATAATACTTTGATTTACGCGAATATTTGACGTTTTAAATAAAAATATCTTTTCGGTTTTTTCCACGAGGGAGAGAAAGAGAGAGAGTTGAGTCTCTCACGTGACCATGATTGCTGTAAAGCATTCGAAACGTCGGGAAGTAAAATGCAAAATAAATGCGTGAAAAAATCCGAAAAGATACTTTAATTTGAATATTTTCGGATGAAAAATTCATTTTACCTTTTATAGTTATTTATCATGATTAGCTCAGTTTGCAGTGACCCTAGTTTCTGTGCCAGCAGTCGCAGGTTTGAGCCCCGTTGGGGGCATTCATTGCTGTGATGGGAACGAATGTTTGTCTCCAGTCATGGGTGTTTATATTTATATTTTATAATATGTATTTATTTAAAGTTACATATGTTGTGTATCAACTATCTGGTATCCATAACACAAGCCTCGTAGTTTACCATGGAACTAGATGGTGATGTGTGTTAATGTCCCAACATATTATTATTAATTTTATTAGACTCCTAGGGATGCATCCGAGTTAGGCTAGGCTTAATATCTAAGGATATTATAATTTTAATATAAACTAGCGGCTCACCCTCGCTTCGCTCGGGTTCGTCGCTAGGTACGTTTTAAATAGATATAAAAAGAAAAAATCTTTCTTTCTCACATTTTAATTATATGTTTTAATACTTACCTATTCCGGACTAAGAGAAATCCAAAAATTAAAATATCATAAAAATTGGAACGCGGTCGAACGGGATAAAAAGTATCCTATGTCCTTCTCCTGGCTCTAAACTACCTCCCTGCCAATTTTCAGCTAAATCGGTTCAGCCGTTCTTGAGTTATAAGCGAAGTAACTAACACGACTTTCTTTTATATATATATATAGATTTATCGATTTGGATACGTCAAGTATATAATATTCAATGTAAATATTTTATTAAAATCAGATAAGGTGAAGAATTTTGAAGATTGGCACTCCTCTCTTCTTCAGATCCGATGACGGTTTGGCTTTAGGCCAGTATGATATCTGTTCCTTAGCTCCTGACATATGGTAAATATTTATTTACTCGCCATATGTTGGGAACATTTTCCATATAATTACATGTTATAAATGACACGTGTCCATAACTTCTTGTAAAATACTTAGGCATGGGGATTTGGTATGTTTTTTTTCGATCCAAAAACAACACTTTGCAAAAGAGAAAAAGAAACGATAATCTATTGCTTAGTAGCTACCTTAAAGAAGGACAAACACACAAGTTTAACTATTACTTACGAACATTGCTAACGATTTCCCGAATTAAATATTTTAACATTATTTGATTTCGAGAGTATCTCTTTTCTTTGATTTTTTTCTTTCTGAAACTGTCTATCAGTTTTATAGTTTTATTTAATAAATTGTTTTTTTTTTTGCGAAAGGTACAGAATATACGTTAAATTAACTGTTCAAGAGCAACAGGCAAAGGCTAATATACCTTAAAAAATAAGTAATTAATATTCTCTTTTCCAATCATAAATTAATGCTTTGCCAGAATCAAATCTAAACCCTTATTTAGCATTTTCTAATTACTACCGTTTTGTTATACTTAGCTATACTTATAGTAAAAATTTTAAGTAAAACCATTATTTTTGCGGATTTATTTTGATTTTTGGTAAAGTCGAAATCAAAAGACAAAATCAAAATAGATCCGCGAAAAATAAAAAAAGATAGTTTCATATAAAATACCAAATATTCGCGTATATCTAATAAAAAAAATCATTTAAACCACACAAAAATCCCAAGTAGGCCGCGCGTGGGATAGATAGATAGTGTTGCAAGCTGATTCAGGTTTTTATATACTTAATGATTCGAGTAGACCTGACGTCAGACCATTCACTGTTTAGAATATTAGTTGAATGCTATTTTTCAGCTATTTTGAATCTTGCATATGATCAAATAACGAATGCTTAACAACTTACCCCACTTCAGGTGTCTTTAGTGCTTAAAAGTCGCCTATAATATTACTCCAGGTCACTGTCTATCTGTGTGCTAAATTTCATCAAAATCTGTCCAGCGGTTGCAGCGTGAAGGAGAAACATACATACGCGCATACAAACATTCGCATTTATAATAGGTGATTTTTAGTAATACGTTTAGGTGTTCTAGAGCTACAATGGACCAAAACTGGTCGACGTAGCTACGGCCGACCTCTGCAGCACACCCAACATAATAATAATAAATAGGGTGTTCTATTCCACCCTTAAAATGACGTTTGTCTTGATATTTAAGTACACGAGACTCCACTTGATGTTAAATAAACAATATTTTACAGAGGAATGAACAATTAGCGTTATTGCAGTATATACTCAAAAAACAGGGTCGGTCAAATGATAGTTCCTAGAATTCTTAAAATATGTGTGATTTTTAGTAATTAAATTATAATAGTTTTTTTTACACAAAACAGATCGAAAAATTTAAAGTTATTGGCTGAATAATAAAGTTATTGGCTAAATAAAGTATAATAGCGTTACTCTATAACAGGAGTTCCCAACCAGTGGTACGCGGTCCCCTAGGGGGCGTAGAGAGTTTATTTTGTATAATTTATTTAAGTAATATAAATAAAATATTATAATTAATTATTATTCCAAAAAAAGGGGACAGGAAAATATAAATCGTTAAAATAATGTTTTTTTTTATAATAAAAGAAATATTTTTTATCCGGGAGGCTCAACAGAAGAAAGGTTGGGAAACCTTGCTCTATAAACTTGCTTAGTTTTTGCAAATTGCACTTAGTCTCTTACTTATATTTTAGCCTAACTTAAAAGGATACTTATTAATTTTGTTAGTACTTTCTTGATTAAGAAAAAAAATTATCAACGTCGAAAAAAGCTTTTCTCATGTGAGACCGTTTAAATACATTTATGAATTAATCTAATAAGTAAAGTAAGTTAGGCTGGGTAATAGGTGTTTCTATTCATACTATTAATTTTTTTTTTTAAAGTTGCAAAACTTACTTTATTTATATATTATAAATTAACTGAACTTTAAATCAAAACTAAATCAATAACTTCTTCCTTTTGGACTCGAACTGTTGTTTCAAAATTGTGCTTTAAGTACTTCGATTTTGAACCCGTTACTTTTACTTCAACATAGTATTTTATCGTGTGGTCGATGAATTTTATCATTTTCAAACAAAATACCAACAAAACATTATAATGTATATTTTATAGTCTATGGCACTAAAAACTTAACAACCTTAAGCAAAACTAAGAAACGAAAACTCTGGTCATAATACATTTTGTCGTGACGGAAATCTATAAAAAATTTACGTTATAACGATTTTATGGTCGAATAAACTTTTTAACTGATTTTTCTATCGATTCTAATGGAAAGATTAAAAATTCTTTTATATATATATAATCTGTGCTTAAAAGTTTTTAACTTTTATTATGACTGGTTTGTAGCTTTATTGGCTGTATATTTCTAAATGTACTCAGTGGTTTTAACCGATTTCTGAAAGAGCAGGTTTTAAAGATTCGATTGTATCGATTTTCATTGTTATTTTTTATTGTATCGATTATACCTTAAGGATCTATCTATCGATAGATAAAGACCAAAACAATTCAGTATCTTTTGCTCCTTTGTTTGTTAACCGATTTTTTTTATTTAGTAGCTGTTTATGAGCTTTAATTTTAACAATAAACAAATTGAAACAGATTATTTTTTCATATATATACACGTAGATAGGTAAATTCTATCATGTATATGTTTTAGTCAAATTTTTAATAATGATTATTTCGAACACTGTGCGTGTAAACGACATCTATCGATGTAATCGACACTATTATATTAAAAGCGCCCACTAAGCTTGTAATCATTACTTATAAGAGCTTTTGAAAGTGTGCAGATTTTAGTTATATGTAGTACATTGAAAAAAACTGTAAAAAATAATTTTCTTATTTCATGTCCTTTCATTTCAAATATAATATGACACAATCGATATATTTTTTATGCCACCATTACCACTAAGGAAACCTGTATGTTACATTTTTTCAATACTGAGAAAACCCTAAAAATAAAACAATTTCAATATTTCCATATTTAATGTACAACATATTTCTCTTTTCAGAACAGCTGTGGTGGAACGAAAATGAAGCATTAACTTGATTTTAAGTTTTGTTAGTGTTTAGAGATTGTTTGTTTAGTGATAGACAGTGCAGTGACAATGTGGAGGTGATTCTGACAGTAATGTTCTCTGAATGCAATCAAAATGTGTTCGTCAGTCGGTTTTGCGGTCATCGTTTTGTGTGGTAAGTACTTTTTATATAATACTTTCATAGATTTACGCAAATACTTGACATCTATACGTAATATGCAGCAAAGTCGCTGTTTTTGTCTGTCCGTTTGTTCCGTGACCCATGAAAAACCCATGAAATTGTGAACAAATTCCGCGACGCACCCAAGCGAAGCGGGGGTAAGTTGTTAGTATACAATATTATTATGCATTGTTTAGACGTACCTTAAACAAAATTAATCCAAAATTTGAGTATCCTTCAAAATTTGAAGTTAATTAAACTCCAGTCTTTTGAACTTATAATTAATTGTAAAGTTATTTTATTATAATAATTGCTTGATTAAAATTTTTGTAATCATTCGTATTGTAGATACTCACAATCATGTTTATTACAAATCTAATTAAATTTAATTTCAAAGTTTACAATCTGACATCGCTTATATCGCTATATACACTAGCGACTGACCCTCGCTCCGCTTGGGTTCGTCCCTAGTTACGTTTTAACTTTTGGTTAAATAGATTTCTTAGAGATGAGATATTTTCCTGCAGTAAAAAGTATCTTATATGTTGACCCGGATAACCAGCTATCATGATACAAAATTTCATCAAAATATATCCAGTAGTTTTTTCGTGATGCGGTCACAGACAGACAGACAAAATCTCGAATAACTATAGATTCGGCGTCTGTATCGATAATAATGTCTATTTCAATAAGATTTTCCAAAAAATATTGAATGTACAGATTCGGCTTAAAATTTTATTATATGTATAGATTTTCTATATATATATACAACTCACCTCCCGCCCTTTCTTCGCGTTGGCTTTATCTTATTTCAAAAACTCATTTTATTCTCATGTAATTTACTCATCAAATGCTCATGTAATTTTATTTTTTAAAGGAGAATCTTTCCTTTAAGTATAACAAAAAAACGTATTTTGAAACGAATTGTCTACATGTCAGTGAAAATTTCAATAAAATTAATAAATTTAGTCATATTATACCCTCTATTCCATGGATCCTTTTTATATATCTGTGTATATATATTTTTTAATATCCATACTAATATTATAAATGTGAAAGTGTGTTTGTTTGTTTGTTTGTTTGTGTGTCCTTCTTTCACGTCGAAACGGAGCGACGGATTGGCGTGATTTTTTGTGAGGAGATAGTTGGACATTTTACCGCGGGAAATTATCTGATTCCCACGGGAAAATACGTTATAATACAATCCAAAAAATTATTTATGATCAAAATTACTTGAAACTTGGTACTTATGCTCTTCAATAAAATTAAATAAATACGTGTTTTAGCATTTTTCGGAATTCATCCTATAAGGGAGTTAAATAGGGGATGAAAGTTTGTATGGAACTACCTTTTTAAAGATTTTTTTTTGTAGTTTTAGCGCGACCGAAGCCGCGGTTTCTGCTAGTTATTTATATAAATAGAAATTTAACTCAAATATATACATATATAATTAAAAAAATATATAAATGAAGATACTTACTATGGTATTTTTAAGTTGTATGTTTTCTCCTTGCTTTTACCTTTCGAGTGTTTGCCAACCATTATCCATTTCCTTTCGAATATAGGTACGTTATTTGAAAAAATCACTTTTAGATAAGACAGTCTTTACGTCCTGAAACTTAAATTATCTATACATATAATAAAATTCTGAGTCAAATCTGTACATTAAATATTTTTTGGAAAATCTTATTGAAATAGTCATTATTATCGACACAGAGGCCGAATCTATAGTTTTTGGAATTTTGTCTGTCTGTCGGAGAACGCATCGCGAGAAAACCACTGGACAGATTTTGATGTAATTATGTATGATGATAGTTGGTTATATTTCATTTATTTTTTATTTCTGAGAAATCTATACTAACCGTTAAAACGTAGGGACGAACTCGAGCGGAGCGAAGGTGAGTCGCTAGTGTTGATATATTTTACTGTTTATTTACATTGTTATGTTAATTGTCTAATCAAGGATTAAATAAATAATTATATTAATATAACGATTTCATAAGAGGTTAGTTACATAATATAATAATTATTAAAAAAAAAACAAACAAACGCACTATACAATTTAAATCAAAGAAATATTTAAAAACAATATGTCAACCCAAAAACATTGTTTTATAATGGTTCTTGAAATGAAAGAAAACTTGAGAGCATTAGTAATATTTTTAAAAGGGTTGGACCCTAGCCTTTACAACTGTAGCACTTGAAAATAATTGTTGTAAATGTTTTTTTTTGTTTTTACTACCCTATAATTAAGGGTTGGTTTAAAATAATTTTTCGACTTCATATTTTAAGTTTTTGTGTCTCTGTTAATTAAAGTATAGGGGAGTTTGTGAATGCGTAGATTGAAGTTTGAATTCGTATTAATAGGTGAGGTAGCGCTAGTTATGTAACTAGCGTCCTTAAATGCCTTTTGTACTTATAATATTACGCAGCGCCATCTTTTGGCAAATTTTACTAACCTGAGTTGAAGCATGTGTTATATTCTACTCAGTTATAGATTAGGTATAAATTCATTTGTATGTACAAATATGTACTTAATTACTAAGTCCATTTTTGTGAAATAAATATATTTTTTAATATTATTAGAAGCCATGATTGGGCACAAGTTTAGTATATGGGAAATGGCCTCTGGAGAAATGGGTGGTATTTTTATGGATAGGGATGGAAATAATTTTGAGGAAATGAAGGCGTCAAAAGATATAGAGACTTAGTTACAATGTTTGCATGTATATTATTATGACATTTGCACACTTTCATTTTTTTCTGACACCCTCCAAAGCCTAAAATTTCCGATTCAAAATGTCCAGATTGTACAATTAATTTCTCATATTTTATACATAAAGTGACCTCAGTGTGAATATCTCTTTTTTAACCGGTTAATACATCTACACCGTGTCTTCTCCATTCTACACGACGTTGAAGTAATCTGTGACTAATTGGCACGCCTAAAAGCCAAATAACAAAGAATTGAATTGAATTCAATTTATAACCAACACCTAAAAATAACATAGCACATAAGATATTTGGGGTTCTGGGTTTGAAATGAAAAATATATAACCAGAACGCTTATAAACCCACTCCTCCAAACGTCGCGTCCCATATACATATAAACTGCAGCTCACACTTTTTAATTATTATGGTGCCACCATACTTTCAAACCATGACCTGCATTCAGTTTAAAATGGAGGCAAAGTAACAGAAAATAAGTGGTTTAAACGTGTATTAATATATGGAGAATATGTTATATGAAATTCAAATGTAGGTCACAGATATTTCTATAAAATGTAGTAGGTAATCAAGTGCTGTACGTAACATAATTTTGAAATAATTTTTTCATATGATATTTTTATACTGATTGCACTTACTGTTTTGTTATAAATTGTAATTAGGTTATAAATTGTAATTAGGTTATTATTATATATTATATACTAGCAAATCACCCGCACTCCGCTTGAGTTCGTTCCTAATTACGATTTAAGGATTAGTATAGATTTCTCAGAGATGAGATATTTTCCCTCAGTAAAAAGTATCCTATATGTTGATCCGGATAACCAGCTATCATCTTAGTAAATGTCATCAAAAACCCTCTAGTGGTTTTTCTATGATGCGGTCACAGAGGGATAGAAGACAAAAATTCTAAAAACTATAGCTTCAGCCTCTGTATCGATAATAATGTTTTTTCAATGAGATTGTCTAAAAAAGATTTAATGTTCAGTTGCGACTTCACTTAGAATTTTATTATATGTAGCTATAAATATACTTTGTTATGTAGGGAAGTTAACTAGGGATCAAATTAAAATTAATAATAATAAAAAACTTATTATTATATTTATTTCTACTGACTTATTAAATGAGCAATTCTTGTATATATATTTATATATTTATTTCGTGTATACCGGAACCGGATCTAACGATTTGGATCAAATTTTGTGTTTATATAAGGTTTTGCTTTAAAGTTTATTATCATATATATATATATATATATATATATATATATATATATATATATATAGATATATATATATTTCCTTGTATATGTAGACCACTAGCGGTTGATTCCTCATACAAACTTTCATCCCCATTTTCTCCGCCTTAAGGGATGATTTTCAGGATAAAAACTATCCTATGTCCTTCCCAGTGTCTCAAAGTATCTTGTGTGCCATAGCTACGCGTAGCCGGGTGTGCTAGTAATACTAAAAATCAATACAAAAGACACCGACAAACTAAAGATTATAATTATTAAGTATATTTGTTCTTATTTGTTTCATTTAATAAATTAAAAAAAATAAACACATTAAAGATATTAAAACGTTATTTGAAACATTAAAAAAATATTACATTTTCAAACGAAATTTCTAAGTATTCATCACATAAAGGAATGAGAGTAAATCATGAAATAGATTAGCTTCATTCAATCATACTCAATGTAGCCCGCGGATCTCTGGATTCCGGTTCAGCCATCACTCACGCCGCTAATTCCCGTATTAATGCGGGACTCGACGATTTCAAGACGATTCATTGTAACTAATTGTAATTGCAAATATAAAAATAAATTGTACGGGAATGCTTAGTGATAGCCCAGTGCTAACGCGCTTGCTTGGATAACCGAGTGAGTGGGTTCAAATCCCGGGTGGTCGGACCTCTGTTATTTTCAAGTGCGAATCATTTTCAACGTGATTGCCACTTGCCTTACGGCGAAGGAAAACATCGTGAAGAAACGCATGTTTGTAATTTTTTTTTAAAGTCATATGAAGTCCGCTAACCCGCACTTGGTCAGCGTTGTGAACTATGGCCTGATCCACCTCATATTAAAGAGAAGATCCCCCTCTACTCAACAGTGGGATGCTAAAAGGGCTGAAACAAGGAAATGCTTTGGCTAAACCTTTTAGTCTAGTTCGAGTCCCGGGTCGAGTTATGTGTAGTTTATGGGTTACATAGTTGCTCGTGCCGAAGAAAAGTACAAAAAGCCGTTGGTCATCCGCCAGATCTCTCAC